AGGAATTGCGCTAGTATCACTAGTGTAGAAATATAATAAGGCGGCTCTGTCACAGTCAGTCTTTTTGGACAGCAAGATTGGGTAGGTAGTTTCATACTCAATACTAAATAAATGCCTTGGTTTTTAGCAGAGGCATTTAGCTGGGAAGGAGGGGGAAGAAAACAAGGGAGGAAACGCCATTCAAGGCGCTGCAGCTCTTTTCAAAGTGGCTTGAAATGGCAAGGCATGGGTGGAGGCCGAGGTCAGTTACAAATCACCGGGCCAACTTCAGGTGGTGAAGGAACAGAACATGGAAAAATCTGCAACTTCTAAGCTGTTTTCTGCTGAGGGCCAAGTCCATCAGGAAAGCACTGCTTTCGACAATAACGGTTTCAAATGCTAGATGGGCTTCTGCTTTGTTGAACACCTTTCTGATTGGCAGAGAAGTCTCCTGAATTCTTACTGTGCTCTTAAAAAAAGCACTCTCAAATCCAGCCTCTACTGACATCTTCCACTTGATCCCCAAGAAGGTGTGTATATGTCATATGTGTGTCTTAATTTTCATAAAAATATAGAATCATAGGACTGGAAGAGATTTCAGAAGGTTATCTTAGCTGGTCCCCTGCTGCACTCATGGCAGAGCTAAGTATTATCTAGACCATTCCTGACAGGTGTTTGTCTAATTACTATAAGTCTCCAGTGATGGAGATTCCACAGCCTTCATAGGCAATGTATTCAAGTGTTTAACCACCACAACAGCTAGGCCATGGCTATACTACAAAATAGTCAAATTTATTAAGGCCGGATTTTTAGCACCCGATTTTGTGAAGTCGAAGGGGCAAGTCCCCAATCTGCAAGTATTTGACAGGTCGAAGTAGCACACCCCCAGAAGGGTGGCTAGCGTCGATTTTGAGCCACTGTGGGGTGGCTCTCCCACAGTTCTTGTGCCCCTTAGTAGTCTGTGAACAAGCACAGACAGGAGGGGACCGCATCGTTACGCGCTGAGCCGTGGCTGCAAGACTTTTGCATGTGTAAGACAGAAGTTTGCAAATTGCTTTCCCCTGCCTTGAAGTGCAAGAATGCCCCGAGACAAGCTCTGACAGGGAAGAAGCGAGTGGCAACTGTGTGCGAGGCGTCCTGGGAGGAAGGATTGTCTCTGACGTTCTAAAAGGTCCTAGCTGTTGGTGACATCCGTTACTCCTCTCGCCTGCTAAACACACTCATCCTCCTCCTCCTCCGCCATGCAGCTGCCAGAGGATTGTCTAGAGAAAAATCTGTGGACTGGGTTGGGAGAGCCGTCAGGTCCCTCCCAAGGATAGCAGGCAGCTGCTCACAGAAGCGGCATGTTTGTGATGATGAACCAGACCATCAGTTTGCATCTTTTGTCTTCTATCACGACTGCTTCAGCACCGTATCCTTTCTCCAGCATGCCCCTTTGTCCTCTTGACAGAGATCTGCATTGCCTTTGCTGGGTCATAGTTTTTCAAGAACAGATTCCTCTGCCCACAGAGCAGTGAGGTCCAGAATTCCCTGCTCATCCGCGAAAGTGGGAACTCACGGTCAGGTGCACTACCTGCTACAGGAAATGAAATTCAAAATTTCCCAGGGCTTTTCCTGTTCACCTGAAAGCCCTGGCCAGAGTGGTCACTGTAGGACGCCTATTGGAGGCTAAGAACTTCAACTTTCGCAGCACAGCATCTGCATTACCTCAAAGTCGACCATGCAAGGCTGAATTTAGCATTACTCCTCGTGAAAAGCACAAGTACTGAAATCAGCTTTAAAGGCCCTTAAAGTCGATCAAATGGGTTTGGTGGTATGGACTCGTTTGCAAATTCAATCTAATGTGGCTAAGCTTGGTCTAAATTCCCAGTGTAGACCAGGCCTTAGGAAGCTTTTCCTAATGTCCAATCTAAACCTCTTTTGCTGCAATTGAAACCTATTGCTTTTTTCCCCCGTCCTAGAGGTGAAGCAGAACAATTTTTCTCCCTCTTACTTGTAACAAGCTTTAATGTACTGGAATGACAACGGAGCAAACTAATCCCAGGTAGCAAGCCAACACGTCTCACACTATGAGCGAGCCTGCAACTGGATCTAGCTTTAAAAGAAAATCTATTCGGTGCCAATAAATGCCTTACATGCCCATGTTACTTTTGGCAGTCACTAGCTACATTTTTACAGATAAAACTGAACTGCAATTTCTAGGTCTCTCAACTTTAGAGGCAAATAAAATGTAGTCAAGACGCATAGAAGACATGTTTAAAATGCCACATGGGGGGAAAGCTTATTTCTGTGATGCATGCTTCTTTTTCCTTCAGTACCTTTCTGGAAAGCTTACTTTTATTTCTACTTGGTAACTAAATGCCCCTCTGAGCCAAAAGCTACTATATGTTTGAGTTTGTTCAAGAACTCCCCCTAACCAGTAAGACCTAGGACCACCAAATTCAGCACACAGCTTCCTCTTATCATAACTTAAAGCAAGGTAGGGTTTTGGCAGTGCCAGGACAATGGGGGCACATCTAAACTACATTTCTCTTTCAAAAGAGGAACGTAAATGAAGCTGACTGAAAAGTCAAATGAAGCACGGATTTACAAATCTTGTGCTTCATTTGCATAATTGCGTGAGTGTGCCTTTTTGAAATCTACACCGGGTTCTCACGAAAAATCCTTTTCTGTAAGAACCCGTACACTTCATTTTTTTAGAAGTACAGGTTCTTTCGAAAAAGGGTTTTTTTTTCCCCCGAAAACCCCGTCTAGACTGCGGTTTCTTTCGAAAAACCCCTTTTTCAAAAAGTGCTCTCACGTGATTATGCAAACGAAGCATGAGATTTGTAAATCCGCACTTCAGTTGAATTTTCGATCGGCCTCGTTTACGTTCTTCTTTCGAAAGAGGAATGTAGTTTAGACGTAGCCTGCGATGTGCCGGGAATGGAACTGCTTCTCTGAAAACCACACAGAAAAGAGATAGAATCAGTAGGCAGGTGAAGAGGGCTAGATGGAGTGCCCCCGCCCTGAGCCTCCCACCCCACAGGCACCCTTAAGGGAGGACAGGAGGCATGGGCAGGGGGTATGGGGCAGGGTAAGGCATTGCCTTCCCAAACTACCTCACCTAGCCCCACCCGTGCTCCACTGGAGTCCCCCACATAGGGTTTTCACCCGGACTGTCTGTTATTCGGGTCCCCCGTCCGGTAAACATCACCACAACAAAATACCTGACATGCGAGACGTCTGGTATTTCCTGTTTCCCTCGGACGGAAGCCTGGTGGGGACAATTTTCCCCACGGTTTCTGGTGGGGGCAGGGGAGTGAGGAGCGCAGCAGAGTTGTAGCCCAGGTTTTCCTCAACTGATTTTTTCCCCTGTGGTTTTATTTGGGGGAGAGGGGTGTTCAGTATTTTTTGTTAAGCCATCTGGCAGATTGGTCCCACTCCCCCAGCCTGCTGTTGTGATGCCAGAGGCCGGGGCAGGCAGGTTGAGGGCTGTCCAGCACCGGGGCTGGTGACTCAGCTGGGGGAGGGAGGGAGGCAGGGGAGGGGGGGGGGGGGGGGGAAGG